TATCTCCAACCACCTACCTGCCCACCCATACACCCATACACCCTCTCTCCTCCCTGTGCAACCCAAGTGAAACCAGTCCTTTCCTGAGACTGACCTTCGGAAATGGAAAGTGCTTTTTCCAAGACATCTCTGAGAAGTAGAATGAGGGCAACATGCAAAGCTAGGCAGATACAGCAGAAAGGGGAGCTGAGAGTCCTGGTGGATGGAGCAGTCATTCTCCTGGGTTCCAGCTGTTCTTCCTCCTGTCCCAGTGCTCAGCTTACTCCTCAGCCCCTCTTGCTGTGTTGTTTTAATTAGGTGGCATTTTTTTTCCTGCTCCCTTGCTACTGAAACCATCCTGGCTCAACTAGGTGCCTTGAGCAGGGGTTGTAAATTCAAATGTCTATAGGGGTTGGAGAGGTCAAGCATGGAAAATCACTTTTTTTTTTAAGGCAGGATCTCCTTTTGTAGTTCAGGATGGCCCTGAACTCACAATATAGCCCAGGCTGGCCTAAAAACTCACGGTGATCCTCCTGCCTCAGCCTCCGGAGTGCTGGGATTACAAGCATACGCCACCACTCCTGGCTACTGGAAAATCACTTTTGATGGTAACAGGCATAAAGAGGGATCCTTCTCTACTGTAGGAAAACGTGCCCGGCTTCCATGTGAGAGAACTATGACAACACTTGGTTCAACAGCACAGTCTATTTGGCCATGACAGCCCAGTCTAGCAACATCTTCTGCTTTTATTTTCATAAAAGAAGCCATAAATCTGGGACTCTCCCAACTGATAAACAGTGGGTCTGAATTTTCTGCCACATTGTGTGATACATCTGCAGGCCACAAGCGTCAATTATTACTACACAGTCCAGTTCCAGGGTTTCCCCTTTGGGGATGAGGGAACTAAGCTAAGAGTCCATGTACGTGAGCTTTCAGTCACTGTGTCATGGTGGAAAGATCTATTAGAGCTCACAGTTTCCAAGGCTGCCGTCTGTGGTCACCTGGCCCTGTGGTTTTGTGCCTGGGACAGCACTACATACCATGGTGGGAATCCATGGCAAAGAAAAGCTGCTCACTTCATGGGAAGCAAAAGCAGGAAAGGAAGGGGTCAGGATCCCAGTCTCCTTTCAAGGACACAGCCCCAGTGGCCAGGCTTCTTTCCACAAGGCTGTACATCCGAAAGTTCTCACCACCTCCCAGGAACTCCAGAGGCTGGCAGCCAAGCCTATAACCCCTGGGGTGGCCCACTGCCTGGGGGACCAGGGCCCTCCTCTCTGCGCCCAAAGCTCCCCTCCTTGGCTTCTTCCCCCAGGCTATATCTGTAGTCCTGTCCTCCCACAAAGTGCATGCCCCTGTGTGCAGATGTGATCCTGACAGGAGATGCCTGCCAACCAAAAGGAACACCACAGCGATTTGGTGCCCCATTCTGATTGTGTTTCTATGGCTCCTGTGACTGCCACATGGGCACCCAAAGCAGGACCAGTCTGAGAGGCACAGAGAGGGAGGCTCTCGGGGAAGTCTCTGGGGGTGGAGATGGTGGCAGCCAGACAGGGCCTGGCCTTCTGCCTTGCTGAATCTTCAGCCCTGCTCTACTGGAGTGGCGCCGCTGAGACAGGACAGGGTAAGGAGAGCTTCGGCTTTCACCTGGGTCTGGGGGTCGCTTCATAGGCTCTTTTCCTGCCTCTCCTTTTGGAAATTAGGAGCCTCTGTGCTACCCAGGCTTTTGTTGACTCACAAGGAAAAAGTCAAGACATGCTTCTGTGGGAAACACCTCCAGGGCTTTGAGGCAGGAGTGGTTTCCATGAGACCCTCGGACTCCATTCAGAATTCGGTGAGGTGGGTGAGGAAGGAAGGGGAAGCAGCAGATGCCCCCTGGCAGCTGGGCACAGGTGACACAAGTTTGAGCCCAGCCCAGCAGCTCTGCCGACACACACACAATGCCACTGCATTCACCTGGCATCTCAGCCAGGCACCTGCCAGAAGCCAAAAGACAGTGACTTTCTCGTTCATCCAGCCAAAGGGTCCCAGGATCCCAAAGATTTGCAAATGCTGAGCCCAGAAGAGAGTGCTTAAGCTGCATCTGGAACCCTCTACAAAGCTTTGCCCTGACTAGAAATCAGCAGGGACATCGGTACCTGGGCAGTGGGTACAAATCACACTAGAGATTCTGGGGATCTGCCAGCCCTGTACCATGGTCACCCCTTCCAGGGCTGCAGCCTGATTTCTGCTTTTTGAGATGATTCCTATTCCCATCACTGCTCGCTTTGTTTCTGCCCTTTAGCCTCCCACGCCCCTCTGTAACTGTACCCAGTATGGGCATGGGAACAGCTGGGTCATTAGTGTCTTGTCCTGGTCTTAGTCCATCTGTCACAGGTAGTTCATAAAGAACAGAAATTTACTTTCTTACAGATCTAGAGACTGACAAGTCCCAGATCAAGTCACCAGCAGATTCAGGTTCTGATGAGGGCCTTTTCCTCCTATCTGGCTGTGCTTTACACAGAGGTGGGGGAAGAGAGGTGTGCTATGCTCACACAACAGAAGAGATGGGTGGGCACAGGGAGAAACAGTTCCCTTGTACCTCTTTTACAAGGTCATCAATCCTACCCATGAGCACTCTGCCCTGGGGACTTGGATGGGCCAGCCACAGTGCTGTATGCCTGTAATCTCAGCTCTCTGGGTGGCTGAGGGAGGAGGATCACAAGTTTCAGCCCAACCCGGGCAACAAAGTGACTTAGTGAAATCCTGTCTGGAAATAAAAAATGAAAAAGGCTGAGGGTAGCTCGGTGTGAAGACCCTAGGTTCAATGCCCAGTACCAATAAATAAATACTCAATTAAAAGGCTGGGATGGAAAGAGAGTGCTTAACAGTGTGGAAGCAAGGTTGGGGGTTCTAGAGACTGACGGAGGTGGAACTAATTCCCACTTCCACCACATGGCAACTGTGTGACTAGGGAATGAATGCCACCAAATTTGCCTAAGCCTCTGATCCCCCATCTGTTAGTGAAGAGGACATTACCTACTTCACTGGGCTGGTGTGAGAATTAATCGAGATAAGGTATAACTCACAACAGCTAAATCTTGGAAACAGCCAGTATGCCCATCATAAATGGATAAAGAAAATGTGTCTTATACACAGTGGAGTGGGTAATTCAGCACAAAGGATAAACCTGAGTTGTCTGTAAGAGAACGGACACATCTGGGACCATAATGGTAAGTGAAATAAATCAGACACAGGAGGCTAAATGTGGCATGGTTTCTTTTATATGAGAAACCCAAAGTGTAAATAATTTAGAGGGCAAACTAAGAGACAGATAATAGGAAATAGGGAGGTAGATCTTTTGGAGATGGAATGAGGATCTGTGGATGGAGGAAGAGGGAAGGTAAATGAAAACAACTAATAGGTGTTGTGTATACACCATGTGTATGCACCAGCTCCCTGAGATGAATGTATTCATTATGTATCACAAACATGACCCAATAAAAAAGAAAGATAGGGCTAGGGATTTGGCTCAGTGGTGCCATTACCTGCCTCGAAAGCACAAGGTCCCGAGTTCAATCCCTGGTACCAAAAAACAAAACAGAAAGAAAGAAAGATAATGCAGACCAGGCAAGTGGTGTAGCTCAATGGAAGAGCACCTGCCTAGCAAGCAGGACCCCCTGGGTTCGGTTCCCAGCACAGAAAAAGGAAAAAAAGACAAGGTGGATTAATCACTGTGCACCTGGCACCTAAGTACCCAGATCAACAACTCTCTTATATTTGTGGCTGATGGGAAGAAAATAAAGTGGAAGGTTCTGGAGGAGGTGGCAATCGTCAAGCTATCCTCCAGGAGATGGGGCAGGATGAAGTTGCCCTCTTATTCTTCCAGCGCAGGAGGACAGGATGGGACAGAGGAAAATCCCCAGAACAGGGGGCCAGAAGTTGGGGAGACTGAGGCCTTCTCCTGCAGCTCTCGAGGGTCCCTTCTCTTTCTCACCAGCAGAGAGCTGAAGAAGGCTGTCTAGGCTGTAAGTCATTTTTAGAGACTAGACATGACGGTTTCCCACAAGGTGTGGTACCGGCCTCCTCTGGGCTCTGTGTGGACCCAGAACCGAGCCCAAGATTTCAGATGTGGCCTGACTGTGACAGCCCAGGGAAGCCCCTCTCCCTCCTAGACTCTTGTGAGTTGTCACACAGTCCAAGGTTGTTCCACGCCAGCTCTCAGGTCACCCCGATCTTCCCACCAACCAGACTCTGAATCAGTTTCCTGAGCAGCAGCACTGTCAGATGAGATCCCTCCTGCCTTCATCGTTGTTCTTTTTTTGGTGGCTAAGTACAAAACTCTGCTTCTGCTCCTTTTAACTCTTATCTTCCTTTTGACCCAGGATTCTAGCCTTTCAGGTTCCTTTCCCTTAGCCCCAGAGGAGGAAGTTACATTTCAGACCTGTCAGGTGACTCAGCCCCACTGACACAAAGAGTCTTTGTTAGTTAGAGCCAGGCAGCTCTGATTTCCCTGGGGACAAGAGGGACTGTGCAAAGACGCTCAGGGTCCTTGTGAATCCTGGGAGGACGTGCGGGGAGACAAGGCTAACCCGGGCCAAGGACTCCAAGGGCTTCTTTAGAGAAGTAGGTGCCTCCCCCAGGAACTGCAGTGCTGCTATCAGAAAAGATTCTGAATAACATCTGCTTGCCAAGTCCAAAAACCATGCTTGGGGAATGAAGCGCATTGTATGGAAAGAACAGGCAAATACAGACCCCCCAGATAGCAAGTAGAGACAAGATTTCCAGAAGGCATGGAGAGCTCTCAATAAACTTTGAGTGCAGAATAAATAAGCAAGCACAAGAATGAATGAAATATCAGTGAGGGTGGGTTTGCAGCCCCCACTGATGGAAGCCACAGGAGGAACTTGATTCTGGGGGCTGGGGGCAGCCGAGGGCACCCAGGGGTCAGAAAGCTGCCCCAGTCTCTCACAGAGGACCCAGCTCCAGGCATCTGTGGCCTTCACCTGGAGCGCCTAGCCCCATCTTGTTTTACTCTCTTGCAGGCATTTTATCCTGTCTGCTGTCTCTCACTCATCACTTCCCTGAGGAAAGTTCAAATTCAAAACAAAACAGCCGTTTTTGCAAAGCCAGCCGTTTTGCTCCACGGACCTGGGAAAGATTTGATGTAAAACCAGTTCTCAGGAAGCTGCACATGATTCACAGATCTTAATGCTGCCGGAGGCACAGAGTGCAAAGGAGAGAGCGGGGAAGAGAGGAATGTAGCTGTCTCACCTTGGAAAGGGGGTAAACTGAGGCAAGGCTCAGCCGGAAAGTGAGTGATAGGAATCAACAGGAGGCACCACCGCTGCCATTTCATCTGGTTCAGTGTTCATCCAGTGACTCTCCTCTCCGAGCCTTCTGCAGACACAGACAGGCATTCAGAAACCAGCCTGCTGGAGACATTACAGACTCGGGCAGCAGAGTGGGGTGATGGGACACAGGAAGGTCGACATTCAGAGATGGGGAAGGGGACCTGATGAAGGAGGGAGAGGGAGGAGGGAGGGGGGAACAGGAACTAAAAAAGATCAAGGTATGAGATACATATGTACTGATGCCCTAAAAAGAACGCAATTATTACATATCACAAACATATTCTAATAAAAGAAAAGAACCGGGACACCCAGCCTTGTCCCTTGATTTTTTATTTTGCTTTTGGAAATAGAAGACATGGAATGAGTTGTTTTGAAATGACTCTTACTTTCTTGATTAGATTATAAACTCCTTAAGGAGAGAGACAGTGTGTTTCATTGCTGACCCTCCACAGTGTCTAGCACAACCTCTTATACACAGTAGATAGGGAATAAATATTTGATGATGATGATGATGATGATGTTGACTTTTCTGGCCCAGAGTGCCTAGGCCCATTCTCCACTGATATTTCCTAAGCCAAGTGTTAACCAGTGAAAGGGAAGGTTGGGTTTCTTCCCTCCCAGTTGTCACATGGTTGCTAATGACCTGCCAAGGTGAGCTCGGAGGATCCAGTTTCCATTCTCCTGAGCTGCAGAAGGAGCTCAGACAGCCTCAAGCAGAGGCTCACTTATTCACAAACAGCCCCTTCACATCAACCGGCAATGACAGGATCAAAAGAAATTTCCCCCTTGAGTTCTTCAGGAAGAAAGCTTCGATTGTCTACTCTCAGCCAAGACGGGGTGAAGTAGGGACACAGTTCCCTTGCCTGTCTCCGGCTCCCCAGGAGTCTCCTGAACTTTTCTGCAGGCCTAATAATGCTATTGTAACCCCAGCTGTTCTTGAGGAATGGAAATGGGACAGAAGGCCCTGGCCCCTAAGGGTGGTGAACTCGAATGGTCCGGACAGATCCTGAGGGGGAAGCTTTTCCCTGGGGATCCCGAGCCACTCCCTCCGCACTTGCAGGAGGACAGGTCTTTACTGATGCACCTGGAATTGTCATTCCTTTCCCGGTGGCCTTCATTGGCATCACCAACATTGAGGTTATTCCATGGGGATTTGCTGTGGCACGTGAGGGTGACCTGTTATGGCATCGACTCTTTGTGTCCCCAGAATCCGTTTCACCTTCTTTCTTGGTAACAGTCAGTGATATTTAGCTGGCACACAGAGCCCAAGGTGCCTTCTCCAGCCTCCCTTGCTGGTTGAGGCTCTGTGCTTGGTCCGGTGACATTGGTGACAGTGTTGTGGGAGGGGACAGTGGGATTAACTGGCCCAGCGCTGACAGTGGTGACAAAGGCAGAAAGATACTGGCTGCTCAACCACTTCCCGAAGCCCAAGTCTGGGCTTCATTTACCTGAGAAGAAAACAGATTTCCTATCTTGTTTAAATCCTTTGGGGTGGAGGGTGGGGTCATTCAAAGCTGAATCTCCTTCTCACTGGCACCAGGGTAGAACATGAAAATGCTTGTTCCATGGAAATCAACTTCAACCTGAAGCCTCAAAGACTTCCAGACATGGAACACTAACTCTGTGAGTTATTTTCCAAACTGGGGGCTGGGATCTAGGTTGCCAATCCCCATAGCTACGATGGAGCAGCAGGGGTGGGGAAGATTCAAACAAGGCAGGGGCCCTTGGGAAACATTCTTACTGTGGTCTAAAAACTCTACATGCCCAGAACAACTCTCTCAGTCTCCTTTTCACAGATATGTGGTTAAAAGTGTAGTAGAGACATTGCACGGTTTGGATGCAGGGAGGAGAATGGTTTTAATGAAGAGTAAACAAATATAACGCAGCATTTGACATGCAAGCTTCTGCACATAGGTTTTTCTGCTATTCTTTCCCCCACCTCTTTTTTCTCTCCTTTCCCTTAAGAAATGCACTGGTTTTGATCGCCACAAACTGGTTGATACTTCAGCCAGTGGTAGTCAGCTGTCTTTCAATTGCAAGAGATGTACACCCTGCTTCAAATGAACTAAAGCAAAAAAAGATCATCCGTCAGCTTACAGAACTAGAAGGCTGGGGACTTCAAAGATGTTGACACAATCTCTCAGAGCTGCTTTCTTCGGTGTATGACTCTCCTGCCCCCCAAATGATGGAAACGTGGCCACCAGCAGCCCAGGGCCACATTGCAATGGGTTAGCAAGCCCCAGTGGAAGGCCAGATCCTCTTTTCCGATATAGCAGAAATCCTGGGACTGACTCTTACTTGACTGTCTTGAACCCATACCCAACCCTGAATGCATTGCTGACTGGCTCTGCCTGGGTCCTCGGCAGGCCTGAGGCTGGGCAGGGTCGATCTCTCAGACCAGGCGCACAGTGAGCAGGGAGAGAGATGATGCTCTAAGAAAAAGCAGGACAGAGCTGGGTGGCCAGAACAAAGGGTTTCTTCCCCTGTATATCCAGGACACCTGGATTCCATAAACCCTGCCCAGGAGGCAAACCTGGCTGGCTAATTCCAGTGCTCTTGGTTGGAAAGACACACAAGAAAGAGACAGGAAAGGAAACATGGAGGAGGGGTGTGGGAATTCATTTTTTCCCAAACAGCTCTGCAAGGGTCTGGGTTAGGCAAGGGAGATACTAAGGGTGTGGCCACGTGCAGTAGAGTGGAGCCTTAGAAATACCCAGAAGAATGCCTCGGAACCCTAATTCCTTATTTGAAACCATGGCAAAATCTGCCCAACCCAAGGGCTGGATGTAAAGAACACTGAGGTGGGGATGCAGGCCTGTGCCTGGTGAGGCCCCGGGGAAACCAGCTCCTTGCATATTGGTGCAGCAATCCTCAGGTGCTCGGCTCAGCTGATCAGGAAGTACAACGGTTAGCACACATCCCACCTCACCCTGCCTTGGGGAAATGCTGGGCAACCCACCCAGGGAAAACACTCAGGCCACACAGCCAGGAGCCTGCTGTGCGCATCTGAAAGTTGCCCCAGGCTAAGTGAACACTTATAGGGACCAGAAGCGCAATCTCGGCTCCCCACCACCACCCAGGAAGTCCTACCCTTTGCACACGAGTCCTCAGGAAGCAGGCATTGTCCCAGTGCACACTGCAGGGGAGGGGGGGTGGGACTTGCACAGGTCCCTGGGACTCTTCACCATGACTCTGCTCCCCTCCCAAATCCAAGCGACCCAACCTGCAGCGATGCCACCTCTCCCAGTGCCCATCCTTGTGGGAGAGAGGAGCCTGGCTGGGCCTCAGACAGTGGCTCTGCGCCCATGCACCCGACAGCAACAGTCAGTGTCACCAACACTCAGTGGCGACACTGGTGTGTCCCCTGGGAGGAATAAGAGCCAAACTGAGACTGAGGTGACTGTCGCTAGATGGCAGCGCCTCTGTCCCCCCCCTTCTCCCTGCTGTGCTGAGTGACTGGACCCTTGGGATTAGAAACTGGACTGGGAACTTAACTTGCCTGGAGTTTGGGGTGGATAATTGAAGACTGGGATTTTCAGTTTATAGTGCGGCTTTTTCTTATACCGTTTTCTAAAATCAGTTAAGATTACAGTCATCTCCCAGAAAAAAAAAAAAATCAAGATTAAAGACCCTATTTGGTCCACTGTGGAGAAGAAATGGTATATTCTCATGAAATAAACCAAATATAATTCTCGTTTTAAAAAATCAAGATCAGAAGTCTCTCAACATGTAAACTTTACAGACCAATAGACTCTGAGCCATATGGTTAAATAGAACAAACAACTCACAGTCACAAACATTAAAGACCTTACAACACAAAAGCATCTGAAAGAGACCCCCAAATTTAGCTGAGGCCACCATTTAATTAATCCAAGTTGAACATATGGCTTTGGTTACCCATGGTTCCAGGCCAAAGGCATGAAAGCGTTTATGGAAAAGCTAGGAAAAGAAGCTGCCAATGCAGGCCACGAAGCAAGGGAGGCCCCTTCCTATCCCCACGATGACACCCCACATTCTGGTGTCACCACTGTGAGATCCACACAGCCCCAGGCCCACTTCATGCCTGCACCAAATCCGCTCTTTTAGCACTGCACTTGAAGACTGTGAGCTTCTTAAAAGCATGACGGTTGCTGCACTCAGAACCCAGGCAGAGAATGAGTGAACGGCCAACTGTCAATTAGAGGAGGGAGACAGAGGAAGGGCAGGTCTAAGCAAGGACACCTATATTTCCCTAGAAATCCTCAATGGCCCTGGAGAGGGTTGACTGAACAAACATTAATAATACTTTTTATAATGTTTTAAAATTTTTAATTGACATATAATCATTGTGCATATTTATGGGTATATTAGTCAACTTTCCCATTGCAGGTACAAAATACCCAACACTTGCAACTTAGAGGACAGGTTTAATCTGGCTCATAGTTCCCAAGGGTTCAGTCCATGGTTGGCTGGCTCCATGGTGGAAACATCATGGCGGAAGGGTGTGATGGAGCAAAGCTGCTTATGTTCATGGCACCTGGGAACCAGAGCAGGGGAATAGCACCAGGGAGGAAAGGGCCCAAGGTCATGTTTCTGTGACCCACCCAGACACACCCAAAAGTGTGCTTTTCTAATCCCCTGGGTGGCTTTCAATCCAGTCATGTTGACAGTCCACCTTAACTGTCACAATGGGACACAGTGAGATAGTTCAAAATATTTATGCAATGTATGTGCTCAGGGTAATTGGTGTGTTCATTATCTTTTCACTTATCATTTCTTTGTTTTAAAGACATCATTTTTTCCTGTTAGAAAATCTGAAGTCCTCTCTACTAGCTATTTTGAAGTATTCCATTAACTGTTTTCAACCACAGTTATAAGAACATATTAGAAGTCATTCCTCCTGTCTTACTGCACTTCTGTATCTGCTAAGCTCCTCTCCCCAGCCCTCCCTCCCCACACCCTCCTGATCCTCTGGTAACTACTATTCTACTCACTGCTTCTGGTTTTTCATTATTGCTTTGGTTTGGTTTTGGGTCTGGTTTTTGAGACAGGGTCTCACACTGTGGTCCAGGTTGTTCTTGAACTTGCAGCAATCCTCCTGCCTCAGTCTTCTAAGAGCTGGGATTACAGGCATGATCCCACCATGCCTAGCTATTTACTGAGGTCATCTTTTGGGACTGAGAATGTGGCTCAGTGGTAAAGTGCTTGCCTAGCACATAGAAGGCCCTGGGTTTGATCCACAGCAGTAC